ACAGAGCAGAACTGCCCCACAGGGGCAGATTTTTAGGCTGCAATGTTTATGGATGCAGGTCACCAGGTCTTTTCTCCCACGAAGCTGGGTGGGAGTCCTGATGGCTCAATGGTTAAGCGCTTGGCTAACACTTCCTTTACTATCCTTAAATGCAATTTATAAATATTTAATCTACAGACACAACTTTGAAAAATCAACATAATGCCCTAATGGTACTATAAGGGAGAATATTTTTTAAAGAATTTATAATAAAATAAAATGATTTCCATACGTAAGTACTCGAACATAGTTATATTAGCAGTCAGATGCTTACACTTCTGTACATTCACCATGAATACAGCAGTACAAATGCAGGCTGATAGAGTTGTGTGTCATAGACCCAAATACCAGGAACAGGCTCACCCATCAATGACATGATATTTGGAAATGGTGAACAGTAGTTCTAAACAAACTTTGTACAGTCTTCCCTCCGTTTGCAAGGTAGTTGCATGCCTGAAGAATTCAGAGTATACAAAAATCATGCAAAAGATACTTTGTGTTTCCATGCAAAGGGGAGTTACGTTCAAGGCTTAGCTAATTATAAACTGTTTTTCACCTATTTGACTATCCAGAGGACATTTGATAGCTATCCAGAACTTGGGACAATCTATTGTGCAAGACTATGCCAAGTATTGCAAGAAATCTAGTATCCTGGGCCTCCACCTGCTAAATGCCAGAGGTGTTACTCAATCATTGTGACAATCAAAACCACTTTCACGTCTGCTGGAGGGGTGGTGTCACCTCTGCTGAGAGCCGCTGTAGTAAATCATAGGAAGCCATCATAAGTATTTTTTCTCCTCTTAATTTTTTCTTTCAGAAACTTCTAAAAATACATAAAAATATAAGAATACAATAAGTACCCATATTTCCAATACTCAGAATTAACACATCTAACATTTTGTGTTGTTTCCAGTCTTATTTCTAAAAGAAAAAACAAAAACTAAATAAAAAAAAAAAAAACTAAATAAAGTTAAAGACCCTGTAAAAATGGTGTGGCGGGGATGTCTAACCTCCTCTAACTTCACAAGGTGGGAGGAGAATCATTATCAGCATCAACAGCCCAAGGCTGATTGCTGTGAGGCAGAGGTCAGACATACCTCCTCTCTCCAACCCTTTTTACCAATTCTAACACCAACCGCCCCTCCCACAGCACTCTACTTCTCTACTGAGTTGGATAATCTGTTGCATTGGCCACACAGAACTCACAGCCCAGACTCACAGTTATGAGGTTTATTAGGGAAGTAACAGGTTACAATTCAGGATCAGGAATGACTCAGGATACAGATCTTCCATCAGGACAGCCTCTTCTCAGCCGTGCCCTCAGGGAGGCCTCTCTCTGGCCCTCCGCCTCTCAGCCCCTCGGCCTGGCCTCTGCCCTGCTCGGGCAGATGTTACAAAGCTCTTTAGCTCTGCCAAAAGGTTCCCAGGGCCCCCCTATTCCACTACGAAGCCTCCTGTCCAAACGCTGTCAGCTCTCTTGCTCCATGGATCAGCACACCCACTGTAACTGCCTTGCTCCGTGGGTCAAGAATCCCACTGCACCACCTCATGCCGGTCTCCTGGTTCTGCTGCCACCGTTTCTCTACCACTGCTTCTTGGAGTCTTGCACCATCTCTGGTGTTAAAGCTCTCTCTCTGTCTCTCCTGGGTCTAGGAGGTTCTCAGTGCAGGGACTCTGGGACCAGCTCTTCTTCTTACGGTAGTGAAGCCCCTCCTCTTCGCCACTGGGATGGCTCATTTTAAGTCTAGCGGGATGGCAAACCTGACCAATCCCATCATTAGGGTCCCATACAGCTTATTTTCATGGTCCCACCCAGTCATTTGGTGGGAGTTACAAGACCACGGTGAGAAAGCTCATAAAAGCGATCCATCGCACCACAAACCCTTTTAACCTCTGCCGTTGTCTCATTTCTTAATTCACCCCACCTTACTCCCAATAAAGCAACTACTACTGTGAGATTGTAAAAGTTTATACTTTTACAATCATATGTATTCATAAACAATAGAGTACGGTTTTATATTTGTTCCAATCTCATTTTTCCCCCAAAGCCTGTGATGCACATTTTACCATATTCCAATTTCTCATATATGTATTGATGTTTCTGAGTTCACTATTCTATGCCATTGGTCTATTTGTCTACCTCTGCACTGACACGATTTATATTACTATTAGCTTTCTACTGTGTCTTGATATCTGGTAGGCCCAACCCATCTTCTCTGTGCTTGTCAAAAGTTAGCTACTTCTGCTTTTAAAGACTTTTAAGAGGAAAAGTGGTGTCTTCTACAAGCACTTGGCCCAGCATGGGAGGGTGTAAGGTCAGAGAAGCCTTTGGAAAAAGATTGAATTTGTGGGAGGAAGGGTGTGCTACTCAGGGAGAAGGCATGAACAGGCTTGGAAACAAGAAGCAGAATGGTACAACAGTACAGTGTTTGGCATTACTAGAATATAAAGGATGAGGTGAGAGTATAAGGTGGGTCAAGTCTTAAGGACCTCATATACTATGCTAAGCAGCCTGAACTTGACCTCATAGGCCAGAGATTCTTAACCTGTTGTCTATGGTTGGGCTTCAAAGAGGATCTTAAACAGGGGAGTGCTCAAGCAGTCTTAAACTTGAAAGTCTTAAGCTAATTTGTTCCAGATAGAGCTCTCTGATAGCAGTGTGGCAAATAAATTTGATGAGATCAAGATTGAAACTGAGACCATTGAAAGGCTTTTTTGAAAGTGTAAACAAGAAATTATTAGAAATATGTGCCTAATTGCTTCCATGAACAAATGCCTCCTTTACCTTGAGACCAGAACTGGATGGTATCTGGCTACCATTACTGAACATTTTTATCAGATTCTATAGAATTCTGATCAAAAGGTGGGAAAATGCAGAACAGAATTCCAAATTCTCATAGAATCCAGACTTTGTGGAGCCATTGAAGCTGGATGAACCCCTGAAACTGCTGCCCTGAGATAATCTTTAAACCTTAAACCAAAAATATCCCCCAAAGTGTTCTTTAAACCAAACAATAGCCTGTTTAGTAAAGAATGTTTCCCTTGAATATCATGCTCTTTTGAGGAACTATATGGGATCAAATTAACAACAGCAACTCAAAAGTTCAGATAGGAGGCTTAGGGAAAGTGAGTTTATGCTAATGGGAGGAACAATTAGGAAAATGAGGGCAAGAATAGTTGCACAACTTGAATATAATCAATGTCACTGAATTGTATGTCTTACTGTGTATACTTTCAACAATTAAAAAGAAATTAGATGGGTAGAACTGATTAGGTAGATATTTAAATGGTAACAATAAGGCAAGTATTTGATTTGGAGGAGGATGCACGGAATAGTCCAGTAAAACTCCTATATATCTGACTTGAATGATAAGGTGGATGATAGTGCCATTAACAAATACGGAAAAAACAGGAGTAGGTTCTGGAGATCAGAAGGAATGCTGTTAGTCACTGACACGTCAAGTTGGCGAGAACTGCAGGATATATCAAGCAATTGGCTTTATCTTAAGGTCACAAAGTTAACCCAGAAGATACAGATTTGGGGGTCAGCAGTAGATATTAATAGCTGACATTGTTTATCATGTACCAGAGTGTTAGGCACTTAATATGCATTATCTCATCTAATCTTCATACTAATCCTTTAAACTGGGGTAAAACCCAACTAAAGAGAGATGTTCTTGCCACCATTTATTCATCTTTTCAGCTGTGAGGCTTGCTAGTTCACGTCTTAGTCATCTCGTGCTGCTGTAACAGAAATACCACAAGTGGATGGCTTTAACAAAGATTTATTTTCTCACAGCCTAGTAAGTTACAAGTCCAAATTCAGGGCATTAGCCCCAGGGGAATGCTTTCTCTGTTGGCCCTGGAGGAAGGTCTGTGTCATCAATCTTCCCTTAGTCTGGGAGCTTCTCTGCGCAGGAACCTCAGGTCCAAAGAATGCGCTCTGCTCCTGGCACTGCTGTCTTGGTGGTATGAGGTTCCCATGTGTCTCTGCTCGCTTCTCTCTTATATCTCAAAAGAGATTGGATTAAGACACTATCTAATCTTGTAGACCTCATCAGTATAACTGCCGCTAATCCATTTTATTACATCATAGTGATAGTTTACAACACATAAGGAAATCACATCAGATTACAAAATGGTACTCATACAACACTGGGAATCATGAGCCAGTCAAGCTGACAGGTATTTTGGGCGGACACAATTCAGTTCATGACGTCATTCTTGGTGATCGCCCAGAATATCAGCCCCTTGGCCACATGCTCTTTAGTTGGGTTTTACCTTGAATGCACTGCATTTTCTTTCCAATCTCCTCAGAACTCTGCAATAGCAGAAGAAAGGTAGCCCAGTAGCAAAGACCTACAGGTAGATTTCCCTATGCAGTGGCACAGTGAGGCTATCCTTATGCTAATACTATACCCACTGTTGTTAACTCACCCCTCATCACTGCTGCGTGCATTTAGCTTAAGAAAATACTGAGCTTAAGGAGAGGAACTGCATTACTATAGGCTGCCCAACAGCCCTTCCTTTTGGGAACTATCCTTCCTCTACTTGAAGCAACTTTGCTAGGCTGTCAAACAAGGGCCTCTGCCTCCCCGACACAGAAGCACGTGTGGTCATGCTGGTCAGAGTACCCATCATCTGGACACAGTAACTGGTTCAGGAATGGTCAATGACCAAAGAGCTTTTTAAAGGGTGTTTTCAGGGGATTTATATAGATGTTAGGCAGTCTTTTCTCTGAGATCATGAGAGCTGATACTAACAACAACAACAACAAAAATCTACTGCTGTCAATTTTGACTCATGGCGACCCCATCTGTCCTAAAATTGTATGTCCCCCCACTCCATGGATGATAAGAGCTTAAGATACGGAAATTCACTCCGTGACTAGAAAATTGGTAATCAAGGCCCCACTTCTGTGGTTCACACCCTATCTGGGTAGACAAAAACACCAAGACACAGACATGGCAAAATATTTAATATCTGTAAGTGTGCCTCATTTTCACATTCCTGCTATGATTCGAAAGCCTCCTCAAACTGGCAGTACCAGAGAAAACATGGACGCTTTCTTCTGACAGGGTTTGAAAACCATCAAGGCCCTAGTATTCTTGACTTGGAAATGGTTGCAGGCGAGGTCTTTCCAAAGCATGCCTCAGGCTTCTCTGCTCAGGTAAAAGATCCCTCATTTCTACAGGACTCCTGAGGTCTTCTGTTCTTCTGCAGCCTGACGCTGGGAGCTGCGCCGTTGAAAATAGTGGTAGGCTCGGACACTGCAGAGGTAGCCCCCATACACAGTGAGTAGCATCATGGAGGTGGAGAAGGTCTTATAGCCAATGTCGGCCAGCTGCTTGGCAGTTGGCATGTCGTCCCCTATGAAGATAGATCGGATTCAGATCCAAGGATAAGGTCTTAACTACCCAGTCCATTTCCCTGTAAGGTCATTCCAGAACTTCTGCATTCTGCTTAGTCTATACTGAATGGTCCCTACATGTAGGGCAGAGTCTTAAAAGGATACGAAGATATCATTTTGGGAACTCAAGGCTGAAACCAGGTGCATCTGAATGACATCACAGCTAATGCTTGGCCCTCCATGTTTGTGGACAGAAGTGACTGGTACGGACTATCTAGAAATGTCCTTAATTGGTTCATTACTTTAAGCATGCATCAGTTTTTCTGGCTAGTGGGGAGCTAATGGGGGAAGTCAAGGATTAAACATTAGCAGTGAATTAGTCTCTCTAGGAGGATCAAATGGAAACCTTCCAGGCAATATCTAATTTGTTTTCCCATAAAAACCACCTTATTCATGGTGGTTAAGTTCGCAGGCTAGCCCTCAAACATCTGTTTAAGCCATAATATATCTGAAATAGTGCCAACAGTACTTTTATATTATTTAAATTATACTAACCTTCTATACCATTAATTCTAAATTCCAAATTTAACACCAAGAACCTATCCCAAGGGCTAAAAAGAAAGTTATTGGGTCCTGCAAATTGTTAACTTACATTTATATGAGATAAATTACTTCCAATTTAACTATTCCCTGGATATTCTGAGCTAGGGAATAAGAGAAAGTTTAGTATGTGAATCTCTCATCCTGAACAAAATGTTCCTCTATTTGAGACTATGAATGAGTTCTTAGGCTCCTCTCTGTTGAGGGAACTGAAATTAAAAGACTGAAATTAGTGAAAAAAGATTTCGTAAAAGTAAAAAATATGGAAGAAAAGCTCAGGATTAGCTGGTTTAGAGGGTCAGATTGAGCCCTATAGGGCTAAACACTGCCTCTGTGCCAACATTTGAGGGTGGATGCCAAGCTGAGCTGAGGCATAGCTTTTCTGAATTATAATTCCAAGTGACTGCAGAAAGTGACATTAAATAAGGGCAGAGGAAGAAAACCAAATTGCACATATTCAAGATGAGAACGGGCTGTGTTTGGGTTATCTGAGGTTTGACAGGACCCCAAGCTGTGCAGTAAAGAAAACACATGCACACAGCAGGGCACTAAGGTGGTAAAGGAGCACCCAGCAACAGAGATCTGCAGCCTTCAGCAAACCCCTCCCTTATTCTTTCCCCTCCCATCACCCATTACAGAGTCTGACCAGATACTAATTAGTTATAGGACCACTTCTTCGAGGGGCTGGAGGAAGAAGACCAGAAGCATTCACCAGCCAACAAAGAAACAGGATGGTGCAGCTTGGCTAGAACGACAGAAGACTGAATAACACACACGTAATCCTGGTGTCCAGAACCTCACTGCCTTCTCTTGTCTCTAATCCATCCTGAATCAGAGGGTGGTTTTCCTATTTTCAAATTAACAAAAACTCTTCAAAAATCCTGGCTAATGCTAAGGCAGTGGCAGTAGAAACCTAGAGGGCAGATGCAGAATTTACTTTGGAAATAGAATAGGATTTATCAACTGAATGGATTAGAACTGGTAGGGCAAAGCTGAAAATACTGTCAAGGTAGCAAGTTAGGAAACCTCCTCAACTGTGATACTGTTAAAAGAAATAAGAAATGCCTATGTCACTGTGTGAGTATGGTGTGGGAGGGAGAGCGGGGTGTCGGTCAAGAAGATCATGAGCTGGTTTTTGGACATGTTAAAATTAAGATGCTCAACACAACATTCATGTGATGATGTCTACCAGGCAGATGGAAATGCAAATCTAGACAGAGCTTGGAACAGAGACAAGGCTAGAGACGCAGATCAAGGTAACAAGTGATACCAAAGCAGAGGATAAGACCTGAGAAACAGAAGCTAAGGGAATGACTGTTTGAAGATGGAAACAGAGAAAGAAGGTGGGTAGGAAATTCTCAGAGGAATTCCAGAACCAACTGGGGGGCTTTTCCTTTAACTACATCTCCCTCCTTTGTTGAAACTCAACTGCTGTATCAAGTCACCACCACTGTTGGAGGTGTGCTGTATCCTTTGGATGTGTTGGGCCAGAATAAAAGTTGAGAGCCATTACTGCTGGTCAGGTGGGACTGTTGGTGGCAACTAGGTCACTGGTAAGCCCAGGGTGGAAGTCAGTTTAGTGCACTACGCTGAAACTGGCAATACAAGGCATCAAGTAAGGAGCATAAATTCTTAGCCAGGGCCCCAGCACGCCTATAAGCCCCACCCTGCCAAGGTTTGTATGTGTCTATGCATTTATCTAGGACAAAGAGCAACAGATTATTAGAAGGATCATAACCCCCAAACCCCAAAGAATCATTGATTTTCTGGTTAAGGGAATGAGACTGATAGGGCTTGAGAAGGTAACAAGATCAACAGAATCCTAGCTCTGTTTTACTTTTTGATAAGGAAGATTTAAACATATTTAGTGGGAAGAAGACAGTGGCTAAACTGAGGAAAAAAAGAAGTGGAGAGTGGAGGGATGGATCAAGATCCAGGTTAGCCCAGGAAAAGATGAAATTAGAAGCCCAGATAGAAGGATTAACCTTAGAAATGAAGAAAACTTTTTGAGCTTAGCAGAACATTCTCTTCTGAGGAACATCCATTTTCTCAATAAGCACAAAGTCAAGTCTCTGTTATAGGGGGGATGGAATTGGACTGCAGGTTTTAGAAAAACAAAAAAAAGGGAAGAATTATTATGGAAGATGCCATAGGGGCAAAACTTGCAAAGGTTATGTAGTTCTCCTATCTCTTCCTGCCCCCTAAACATAGTAAGAAGGAGGCATTGGTAGCTCGGTGGTAGAATTCTCCTCTTCAATAAGGGAGTCCGGGGTTTGATCCCTGGCCAATGCACCTAATGCGCAGCCATCACCCAGCTATCACTGGAGTCTTGCATGTTGCTATGATACTGAACAGGTTTCAGCAGAGCTTCTAGAGTTTAAGACATACTAGGAAGAAAGGCCGGGTGATCTACTTCTGAAAATCAGCCAGTGAAAACCCTATGATCACAAGAGTCGGATCTGCAACCAATCATGGGGATGACCCAGGACTGGGCAGCATTTAGTTTCATTATGCAAGGGGTTGCCATGAGTTGTTGAAGGAAGCTAACAACAACAAACAGAAAGAATCAAGGATCAGGTTTCTCTCTGGAAAACTCATCCCTTCAAATGGGCCCATTACTTCAGCTTCGAGTCACTCTATCTTTTTACAGGTAGTCCCAGGGTTAGGAATGTCTGACTTACATAAAACCTATAGTTAGTTACAAATTAACCCTGGTAAAGCTTATTATATTAAAAATTCGAGGTACGTACAATGGTTCATAATAACAAATGGGCGCTGCTTTGCAATGTGCATCAAAACATTATTATTATTAGTGTATTATTACGTTGTATCTGTGTTTCTTTAATGTTTTTTATGCACAGAAAGGTACACTATATACTGAGACAAACATTTTACTAACTGACTATACAAAGAAAACTACAAAACACTACTGCAAGAAATCCAAAGGGATCTACATAAATGGAAAAACATACCATGCTCATGGATAGGCAGACTCAACATTGTGAAAATGACAATTCTACCCAAAGCAATT